TAATTTTGTCTCATCCACAAACTTACTAATCATGCATTGTACGTTCACACCCAGATCGTTTATGTAAATAACAAATAACAAAGGTTCCAGCACCAACCTCTGTGGCACACCAATAATCACAGGCCTCCAGTTTGAGAAACAACCTTCAACCATCTCCCTATGCATTTGAGGTAAAATTACTGAGTTGACAGCACAAATAGACAAATAGGTATGATTTGAGGGTGATTATGGAGATGTGGTTGCAGGGAGACCAGGTTAGAGAATTGAACATCCAAGAGTACTTAGTGTTTTGGAAGATATGCCGTAAGGAAGTGTAACTAGTTACAATTGATTTTAATGACTTGGATGCAGGGATAGAAGGTTCTATAGCTAGATTTGCAGATGACACTACAATAGACGGGTAAGTTAACTAAATTAAAGAAATAAGAAACTTGCAAATTGACTTGGATAGGTTTGGTAAATGGGCCAAAATTTGGCAAATGGAGTTTAACATGGAGAAGTGAGAGGTTATCCATTTTGGTCAGAAGATCAGAAAAGCAACTTATTATCTAAGTAGAGAGAAACTTCAGACTGCCTCAGTGCAGAGGGTACCTCATGAATAAATCACAGAAAACTAGAATGTAGGTGCAGCAGGTAATGAGGAAGGCAAATGGAATTTTGGTATTTTTTGCAAAAGGTATGGAGTATAAAAGTAGGAAGTGTTGCTGCAGCTGTACAAGGTATTAGTGAGACCACACCTGGAGTATTGCATACAGTTTTGGTTCCCTTACTTGAGGAGGGATGTAATTGTATTGGGGGCAGTTCAAATGAGGTTCACAAGATTGTGAGGGGTTTGTCTTATGAGTATTTTAGGACTGTACTCTCTAGAGTTTAGAAGATTGAAAGGAGATCTAATTGATGTATATAAGATGCTTAAGGTCATTGACAAAGTAGATGTAGAGATGGTGTTTTGCTTTCTGCGCAATCAAGAATGAGACGTCATAATCTTAGTATAAGAGGTAGTAGATTTAAAACAGAAATTAGTTGTAATTACTTCTCTCAAAAGGCCGCGTCTCTGAAATTCACCATCCAGAGTAGAGTAGATGTCGCAACATTGAGTAAGTATGAGGAGGAGGTAGATAGATTTTTAATTAGTGCTGGGTTGAAGGGTTGTGGAGAGTAGGTAGGAAAGTGAAATTGAAGCTGAGATGAATGGCAGAGAAGGCTTGAGAGGTTGAGTTGTCTACTCCTCCTAGTTCATATGTTTGTGTATGTTCATTTCTACCTAAGCTGCTTCTATATACTGATAATTAGATCATCCCCATCTCTTGTTCTAATTTCATCTTGAATTAACAGAACCACTTCTCCACCCTTTCCTAGCTTCTCTTTCATAAATTTCCATACTCTTCAATATTTGTGTTCCAATTTAGATCTTCCTGCAGCCTCATCTCTCTAATGGCCAATCGATCATACTTATCGCAATTTGTACTACTAGTTCGTCTGTTTTGTTTCCATCCACTACATGCATTCAAATACTCTGGCTTAACTTTGGTCCTTTTTATTATTTTTGTTTTTAGATCTATATTCTCTGTTCCTTCCTGTCACTGTCTATTTATCATTTCCCACATTAATTCCTACCTCTGCCTTTTCCCACTCTTTGATTCACTGCACCTACCCAGATTTGGGCTTTAACCCCCACCTTTTAGTTTAAAAGGTTGCTTTATTACAGCAAGTTCTGTGTACAATAATTCAAGTATGGTCTAACTTGGGTATGTCTCTGGAATGTTTAAGCAACAATAACAACTTGTAATTTTATGTAGCATTTTTATTGTGGTAAAATGTCCAAAGTGTTTCACAGGAGAGGTGGTCAAACAAAATTTGATACCTAAAGAGGGATTGGACCAAAAGACTTTGAAGGAGAAGAGAGATGTGGAAAGGTTTAGAAAGAGAATCTAAAAGTGGAGGTAGTTTACCTTGCTTTTTCTGACACTCCTTTAACTGATTCTATCTTTGCTCTTGTTTCCTTCTTCTGTTCAGGAAAGTAGTGTGGCTTCATCTGATTTATGTGCACTTGTTTTGAAGAAATTTGGTTAAATTGCTAAAATAGTTGGTGAGATTAAATCTGCTGATGAACACTACACTTGCTAACATGATGAGCTGAAAGGCGAAAAACAAAATTTCAAACAGCAAAAACTAGACTGGGTGGCCCTTATTTTGTTTCTTAGCTGTTACAGATTATTTATAAGTAAGCTTATTGCCTCTAGCAGTGAAAAAAAGAATTAATGCAAATACATGTTGCATATGAGACCTAGTTTAGCAATTTAATTGCTATTGATACAGGAACTTGTTTTCAAAAAATGCCAACTTCTGGCATGGAGCATTTTATAAGAGAAAGAGGAGCAAGATAAGACCAGTTTTAATCAAATAAAAAAATTCAAAATAAGGTGGAAAGATTATTCTGAAGGGCCAAGGTATGTTGTGTAGCATAGCGCCAAAATTGAAATGAATAAAATTTGGAGAGATGAAGATTCGAGATGTGGGGGGGGGGTGGCGGAATGAAGAAGAATGATTTACCTTGGGATACTATGTAATGAGTACTCATTTTGGAACAGTGGGAATGGGTTTAGCAGGAACAAGAAAAGGAAATTGAGTGAATGCTTAGCGACAGTTGGTGGTCTTTAACTCCCACCTCCAAAGTTTTTAATAGAATAGAATCCCTACAGTGTGGAAACAGGCCCTTCGGCCCAACAAGTCCACAACAACCCTCAGAGCATCCCATCCAGACCCATCCCCCTATAACCCACCTAATCTACACATTGCTGAACACTATGGGCAATTTAACATGGACATCTTTGGACTGTGGGAGGAAACCGGAGGAAACCCACGCAGACACGGAGAATGTGCAAACTCCACACAGACAGCCGCCCAAGGGTGGAATCGAACCCGGGTCCCTGGTGCTGTGAGGCAACAGTGCTAACCACTGAGCCACCATGCTGTTATAAAAACACAGACTAAAGTGAAACATTTGAATCATGAGGTTTAAACTGGGTAGTTCTCAAAAATAAGTGGGAAGTTTTTAATGTGAATTTAATCCTTGACCTTTACAGTGTAATGTAATCAGCATATGAACATTTTGCAGTCACCACTAGTTATGCTGTTCTTTGGCTGTATGCTTTAGAATGGGCTCAAAGTCAAAATTTGCCAGCATCAGTTAAAACTGGTCTGGATCTCTTAAAGAGTAGATGCAGCGTTGCTGAAGCTTTTAGGAAGTAAAATGCAACAGAGGAAACAATGATGATGGGAGAGAGTGGAGAGGAGATAGTAGGAATTGCAGATGTTGGAGAATCTGAGAAAACAAGGTGCGGGGCTGGATGAACACAGCAGGCCAAGCAGCATCATAGGAGCAGAAAGGCTGACGTTTCAGGCCTAGACCCTTCATCAGAATGGAATTCACTTTGGACATTGTATGGGACCTTGTATTGGAGGAGGTGGGAAGCAGGAGACTTGTATCAACTGGAGGTCATCTAAACACCTTGAACAGACAGTGGGACCAAATAACCATGGGAGCGAGCACCAATAGTCACTTTCTGAGGACTTGGCTTCACCTCACTGTCGCACTTGGCAATTCTGTAAGCTTCAACTTGTGCTCACTATCAGCTAAATTTGGTCTTAAGAGTCACGTCAGCTAAATACATTGCACAACGTTCACTGATACGCTTACTTCTCTCTTTCTGGATGCATCTTAACTGCTGTGGAGACTGTGCTGGCTATTATGGGATGCCTTATCCCAAGGATGTGGCTGAATCCATCAAAACTGATGCTACCTTTCAGACCTAATAGCCTCTCGCATCCCACTTCCCCTTCTTCTCTCACTCTCTATTCTGATTAACAAGCTGCAGATAGTGTAAGCCTGCACATGTTAATACCTCCCAACCCCTAACACACCAGCACCACAGTACAAGCTTGCCTCAGTGACTTCCACTTTGCAGATACCCAAGAGGGAGTGAAAGAACTGCAAGAAGGACGCAATGATGAAGACACGACTCTTATCACTTATTTCACAGTCACACCCACCATGGAGGTTTAGTGACATTGCATGTATCTTAGAGGATAGATTAGAAGCAGGACCTACAGAAGGTGAGATATTAGGAACGAATGGGCTGCAGCAAGGGCAGAGCATAAGGATAGGAGAAGTTGCTGAACAATGAGGTATTTGACATAATTGACCTGTGGCACTTAATAAGTCATGTGAAAGCCTACAATCCTAGAGAAGCCATGTGCTTGCTCAACTTGTTTGTCTCTGGCAAGGGAAATATAATTTAGCTGTCATTGATTTCCCTTATGCAGTATCAATGGCACATTGTGAGATGTTGCAAATATAACTCGTTAAATATTTATCACCAAAACTGGTCCCTGTCCTGTTCTGAGGTGGTAGTGTTGATTGCATATTTCAGTGAGGGTGCCTTTACAATAGGAGTCGATGTAGGGCATCTATGACCTGCCAATTATACAGCACTGATAGGTTGAATAATAGGAGTAAATTGTCCAACTTTTGGTCACCGGTGTAGGTTGTAAAGATCTCTAATCCAGAACTTATGAGAACAGTGACAAAATGGGCTGGATAGAGGAGGTGGTGTGAGTGCATTTAATTGCCATTGATAGAACAAAAATGTCCATTGAAGCTAATCTTTCTGAGATAAAAAGTACAATTTGTCCTAGCATAGCATCTGAATAAATAGAGGTATGACTAATGAAAGACAAAGCTTTTTGAGAAGAAACGGTTTTCTCTGATCATCAAGAATAATTTATTGTCAGTTGTCTGCAACATCTTGGATTCCATAAATGATATTTCTGTGTCATAGTAGAACTTAATGCTTCATTTGCTCATGTTACTAACATTTATTTCCTTTCAATCAGTGTACAGAGTGAGATGAATTGGTAAAGGGGAAGTTCATAATTTTTGAATAATCATCGAAACAATAAATATTTTTACATGTACATTTAAATTTTTTTCTTCACAGAAATTATGTCCAGTCAGCCAGTTGATATTATTGACATTGGAAAGCGGAAGAAGAAAAAGAGAAGAACCAGGGCTACGAGCAGCCTTACTGGAAAGTTTGAAGGTTCAGTTTTGGTTCATTCTAATATTTGTTTAGTAGAGTTGGTTGACATGCCAGAATTTAACCTACTATATTTCCTTTATGATACTGTTATAAAGCTCAACGCCATGTAATGTTAGGTCATTGCGGATCCCTGCAGAGTGTGTCATATTCCTATAACTCACAGTCTGAAATTATCTATTTGCTGAGGAACAGGCTCATTTTGTGTCACAGTACTGATAAAATTTGAAGGTATTAAATTGAAAAAGCTATCTACTGGATGCAAGTGAAATCCATTACTGTCAAATTTAACCTTGTCAGATGTTTAAATCCTACTGAAAGAAATAGATTCTTCAGACAGGAAAAGATTAATACTTAGTAGTTCATTGTCACACCATTTATGAAAAGGCTTAAAATATAAACTTCGGACAGTTAGTGAGTGGAATTTATTATATATACAAAATATGCAGTAACATGCATAGTAAGATCTTGGGCACAAGATTATCATTGTTCCATCTAACTGACTGTCCCTAACATCTAGCTTGACCTCTGAAACAAAAGCCCTGAGCAGATATTCATTCGATTCTTAAAATCTGTAAATGTTTTCTCTGCGATCTTTCCTAATGATAACCTGTTCCATAATTCTATGAGCACTTTATTTTATAAAAAAAAATGCCTAAATTTCTTGCATTCCTTTTGAAGCCCTAAACTAAGATGTTTTATTCTTTCTTTGAATCCTATGCCTGACATAAGAACTTCCCTGTTTCCATGTTTTGACTTATAGCTTTGAAAGTCTTTCATAATGTTATGTTTCATTTTGTGCAACTCTTCAAATGATATCTGTGCTCCTCTGCAGAGAGTCAAGCCTCCAGACAGACAATTGTTAAGTCTTAGTGGGGTAGCACGCTAGAAATCAAGCATTTCTATTCCCAGACTCATCATGAAAGTTAAAGATTTTATAAAAATGCATAAAATTCCTCAGTTTGCCGGCATGGACGAGGTTCCCAGACTCGACAAGAATTAATATTTGCTCTCTGTAAACAGATTCTAGCTACAAGTAAACAATTACGAACTGTCAACACATAACTCTTCCAGTTAAAACTGTAATCCCCTTTAAAACTTCCCCATTTCATACAAATAGATGCAAAAAATTTCAGGGGTGTCATGGGCAGAGAAGACAACTGGGAAAGCTGTTCCCTACCAAAGGTAAAAATGCTTTTAGTGAGACACAGTCACACCTTTGGTGCTGTTTTAGATTTCATTTTGCTGAGATGATACCATCAGCTTGTCACGTTCTGCTCATCTGAATCTTCCTTCTCCAGGTACTTTCATCTGCTTGTAGGAGGCACAGAACGACAGGTTCACACTGATAATGTTTCTGTTTATTAGTTAAAAGCTACAGCTTACAGAAATTGATGAGGGAAAGTAAACTATCTTTTTTCAGACTTGATGTACTGTAGAGAAAAGGGCTGCTTCTTCCGTTTCAAAGGTCAAATGGTTCTGCACAAACATTCGCAATTGTAATCTGTTCACCTAATTGGCAGCCAATCACATAGTTGTTGTTGGACAAACTGCCTTTGTCATTCACGATGGGCCACTAATGTACAGGCCAATCATTCGCATGTACTCCTTGGCTCCAGTTTTCTGCAACCAGACCTCCTCCTTTCTTCCTTAACACCACCTCCACGCCCATTCGTACTTTATCCATGAACTAGAAGCAATGATGAGTAATTAGCCAGTACTGCCAGAGATTATTAAACTTAGATTATAAAAAAAAGTGGGGAATAAATCTGCAGGGGCTTTGTATACTTCACTAAGGACTGAAATAGAAAATATGGGATCACTATGTCAAGCTAAATTCATCGACTGGGGGACTAAGTCAATGCAGAGAGATTTTTGTGGAAAAGCTACAACAAGCCCACCTATTTTCAGAGAGCATTAAAGAAAAAGAAGAGACAGAGCTTGTTTTCATCACTTGGAATCTACATCTACCTTTTTTACTGTCACAGTTTCACATCAAGTGCCATTTTCAGTCTACCTTTCTCATTTCTCTGCTTGAAAGCTTCTGCGTTTCAAGACTGAAATACAGATTTTTCCAAGTTTTATTCATAAACTTCAAAGTAATTCATGCTTGTAACAAGGAAATAAAACTACTTTCTATCCACTTTCCTCTATGCTTCGCAACTTGGACAATAAAATGGCAGCTAATGTGTATGCTTAAAATCCGTATACAAATCATCAGACGAAGAAAGAGGTTCTTGAAATTGCAAGAACAAAAAGAACCCTTAAAAAATGACATTCAGGAAAGAAAATGTCTGTATTTAGTCCATTTGGTCAGAGCTGAAAAGCTGTAGAGATCTCTTTCATAGGACAAAATGAAGGGCAGCAGAAGGGCCTTTTCTGAAGAAGAGCCCCAACCTGAAATGTCAGCTTTCCTGCTCCTCTGCTGCCTGGCCTGCTGTGTTCCTCCAGCTCCACACTGGGTTATCTCTAACTCCAGCATCGGCAGTTCTTAATATCTCTCAAGCTAGGCATTGTTGGCTAATGGAAGTGAATGTGTGAGAATGGCACAAGGCAAAGGAATATGATATACCATGACAGCAGATATCCTGGTTGGAATACCTACAAGCATCGAATTCAAAAGTCCATCTTTTAATTTTAGAAATAGGTTGTTTAAATTTCTACTACCACCTTGAAAATATTCTTTAAGTTTGCTGATCAAAATTGAGCAAAATACTTGGATGCTGATTGGAGCATTGTATGTTTTGAACATCATATTCAATGACTTGTGCTATAAAGGTTTACCTGTAAGATTCAGAATTCCACATACTTTGTTAATTAATGCTTGGCTAACATATGTAGCTGATCAAATTTCTGAAATTTTATACTGGGCAATGAACGTAGAATTTTTGAACATTTTGACAGTTGCTCTAAGCTACTACTTTTTGTTTTTCCAATTACTTGTGATTGGTTATGTTCTGACTTCATTTTAATCAATTTACTAATGATTTTCCTTGGTAGCATCTTGTTAAGTGTGATGACCATATTGTGACTGTTCTGAAATAATTATTTATTAAATCATTAATTGCATTGATAGATTTGTACAAATTGACTGATGAACAACTAGGTGAAGGATCCTACGCCAAGGTCCGAGGCTGTGTCAATTTACACAGTGGAAAAGAATGTGCTGTAAAGGTAAGGAGCGAAATGTTACCACTACTGCTTAACAGGGGATACATTGCTTGCAGTGGGAGATGAGGCTTCTGAAAATCCATCTTAGAGTGTGTCCATGTTGGAGTTATACTTGCCTTAGTCTCAATTGTTATAATGAAGGCAAAATACTGTGGATGCTGGAAATCTGAAACAAACACGAAGAATACTGGAGAAACTTAGCAGGTCTGGAAGCATCTGTGGAGAGAGAAACAGATATCTAAAGTTTTGAGCCTGTTTTGACTCGTCTCCAGAACTGATGCTGTCTTTGCCTGGGGAAAGTCACTACGATTTTGGATCTTTCAAAATCTCCGGTGTTAGCCCTGTTAAGACATATAGAAGACATGGAAAAACAAGAAAAAAGCTGTCTTTGCTTATTATGATTAGAACAGTATTTGAAAGCACTTTTTGTTCTCGCCTACAGATAATTGAGAAGAAAACAGATCTGAGCCGAAATAGAGTGTTCCGTGAAGTTGAGACTTTATACCAATGTCAGGGAAACCAGTAAGTTTCAAATCCTGCAGTACGGGAACTATGAGCAGTGATATCTTAGAGAAGTAGTACACTATTGCACTTAACAAACATTAGTATCCTCTTGAAGAAAATTAGCAGACCACTTTATTTATAGCTATTTCTGTCTTCCTTTTAATTTTTAACTTTCTATCTTCCTCTTCTGTTTCAATCTCATTTTTCTAATTAACTTCTATGCTTTCTTCTGTTCTCAGTGCCACCTTCTGTTTATTTATTTGCAGAGTAGGAGAGAAAAAAAAAGGTCTGATGGGTCTAAGACAGACCATTAACTAAAGGCAGTGCCTGTTGACACCACACATGTGCACACTGCTTGAAAATGTGTGCATGCATGTTTACTGGAACATGTGCATTTATATGGATTCTTCACCGGTATTAAAAAAACACGCTGGCAATGAAATTAGCAGAAAACCAACTAACATGAGGGACTGAGGCCTGAAGCTTGGAATGGTTACGTCTCATGCACAGATGGTAATGGGGGAAGAGAGGAGTTGTTGTGAAAGGGGTATGGCCCCCATCCCCCATCACTACAATCATAACCCCATCACCCACCCCCTCCCTGATCCTCCTCTTCACCCAGTTCCCCCCACCCCCATTCTGTCCTTGTGCATGCACCCAACCATCTCCTGTATTCACAACTGCTCTCCCCAACACCCCCCCACTCTTCATTTCACACCATGTCTGCCCTCATTGCACCCAACCCCCGCTCCACTCTTCTCACTGTCCATTCCCAACCACTCCAATCCTGCCTAGTCCCTGTCCTGCCTGCTGGACTCCATTTCAATAGCACACTTCTTTCTGCTCATCTACAGTGCCTTCGTATATGTCATTGTCAGAATTCTGCAAGATGTATCATCCATGATGCAGTTTGGAAGTGGCAGGAAGTATTCAGTACAAGAAAAAGTTGATGGCGGAGAACGACTGGAAGTTAGGAAGGCAAATGTGATGTTAACATTCCTTTCAACAAGGCTAGAATACAAGAGCAGAGATGCACTGCTGAGGCTGTATAAGGCTCTGGTTGGTCAGACCGTATTTGGAATATTGTGAGCAGTTTTGGCCCTGGATGGAAGGATGTCTTGGCGTTGGAGGGGGTCAAATAATGTTTACAAGAATGATCCCAGATCCTCCTGATCAGAAGGCTATGGAGGCCAAGTCATTGAATTACTGCAGAAGGCTGTGGGGGCTATGTCATTGAATGTATATAAGACAGAGGTAGATAGGTTCTTGATTAGTAAGGGAATCAGGAGTTACAGGGTGAAGTAGGAGAATGGAATTGAGAAACATACCGACAATGATGGAATAGCCTAATTCTGCTCCTTTCTTTTATGGTCTTATGGAAGATTAATTTATCTGGAAGCTAAGCAAGTCTGAGATTATCCAATTTGGACCGACAAAGGATAGATCTGGTGCTTTCTAGATGGTATGAAGTTTAGTACAATGGATGTCGAAAGTGACTTGGGGGTTCATATGCATAGATCTCTAAAACATCATGAACAGGTGGAGAAACTAAGAAAGCTGTTGGAATTTTGGCCTTAATATCTAGAGAATTGAAGCACAAGGATGCAAAAGTTAAGCTGCAGTTTTCC